AAAGAAACAAAACCCAAACAACAACAAACCACAGAAAACCCACAACATAAACCAAAAATAAAAACAACCAAACAACCAAAAATAAAAACAACCCAGAAAAGGAAACGAGAAAAGGTTAAGCAAAGAAAAACTATCTGCAAAATGCACCTATGGTAATGAGGTACAAGGAATCTCCATGGAAACCCAAGTCAGGCATACCTGTGTACCCACTGCATGGCAGCCTTCCCGATGGACGCACCACACACCATGACAAAGTCTTTCCGACATTCCAGGTCTCTCAGAGGCACAAAACCCTTTCATTGCCATCCAAGCAGTAGGTATCTCTGCTACAGTGTGACACCATGAGTCTGGAATCACACCCAGTGCCACTGGGCTTGCACCTGCTTTTTTTGTTTTGCACACTTCCTGCTTATCAGCACTCACATGTTTTGGCCTTAGCAAGGGAGATAAACTGCAGTCAATTGACAAAGGGCCGTTTTCCAACCACTGACTTCCTTGCACTCAGGAAATTTATTTTGTTCAGGATCTGCAAGATCATGCAAACCATGACACAATCTATACAGCTATTGCCATGGAAGGGTAAAAGCAAACCTGGTTTGCAGATGCTTTTAATTTTCACACTGATTCACACAGGGGTGCACACACTGCAGTCAGAATTTCAAAGAGAAAAAATATGACTTGGGCATAATCTTGTGTTTCTCCTCTTCATTCCCAGTGTTTCCATCAGAAATGCACAAGGACAAACATGAGAAACTCGGGAAGCTGAAAGCATGACTCTCACTGCTACAATCTCTTCTGTTCCCTTCCTGGTTTTTCTTGTTCCCTTCATTCTGTCCAAAACACCGGCCCTCATGAACACTGGAATTCCTGAGCTGACAGGTTGTCCTGACATGATGAGCCTGACAAAATAGTACAGCAGGACAAAAAACCCCAACAACCTTTAATCAAATATAAACTAATTCTTGCAAACAAAGCACGTTTCAAAATTCCCACTTTCATGCTGCAAATGTGCAACTTTTTAATTGTTAAAGAGCTACTCAAGCGTTTACCAACAAAGACTTTGAGACCACATCTAGCAAGCAGTGGAAAGATGTGGAAGGGTCCAATTTCACCACCCAACAAGCTACCAAAATACCCCAAGACATACTTGAATCTGAACATCTCACCACAATGTTTTCCTGTTCTTCCCATAGTGATAAGAAATTATGACTAACCTTTACATCAGAGAGCTGACAGAAAAAAAGTTCTGACTCGAAACACATGTTTTTAGTGTTCTAGGAAGCAAGGTTTTAAATTGGAAACCCTGACAGATCTTTAACTGCAGCAATAACAAATAACATCAGTGTAATTTCTCTTGAAAGAAATTGCTCTGCTTTCTTATCCAGTTTCCAGCTTAAAACCCTTCATTGCTGATGCTGTTGTCAATCTCATCTAGTGACCCATTTACCCAAAGCACAGAATTACAGAACAGAATTTTATGACAAGTACAGAGAAGGCTTTGACACTAATAACACTCAAGATTCTGTGGACTCAGATTGTTTTCAGGGCTTGGTCAGAAAGGCCACCTTTCCTTCACGTGAAAAGTCAACAACCCACCTCAGAGGTTTTACAAATGAATTTGTCGTGGCAATTAAGGGGAAGAAGCTTTACAGACACGGTAAAAGGTGAGTAACATCCCCGTGCACCGCTACATTATGGAATAAGAAAGAGACCTTTAACACATTGCTCTGAACACTCGGGAAATCAGAACTACTGTCTGGATAGTTACAGTCTGTGACTTTCAATGAATCAGTGGTGTCTGCAATGAACACCCGACCTTTGAGGGAGAGGGGAAAGGAACTCAGACTGAGCAAAGTAACCTCCAGTGATCTGTAACGGAGGGTTGAAGGGCTCTGTTTCTCACTGCGGGTATGGACTGATAGTAACCCAGTGCACAACCACGCAGACCCTCAGTGAGCCTCCTCCCTCACCCTCCCAGTAAGGTTTGAAAAGCCAAGAACCTGAAATCCACTGGGAAGATGCTCAGTGTGTCTGTTCTGGTTAAAATACACAGCCTGTTCAGCTTCCCAGGATTCTTCTAGGGAAGGCAGTGGCAGGGAGCAGACAGCACATGCAGAAAACCACCACACACAGAGCACACAAAGCCCTTCTGAAAACACCAAGACACTGCTGGGGATGAGAGAGGTGGGACGATGTGCAATGTAAAGCCATAAGGGCTACAAAATCCACCCCACTGTGAAAGTTGTCCACTTCATTATGTTTGGACAATGCTGTACAGGATGGGGAGAAGAAACCTCCTTGTTGTGGGTTTGGGGAATTTTTTGTATGTGTGTGGGGGAGGTTTGAGGAGGGTTTTGTTGTTAGCTTGGTTTTTTAAACACAACTGCTACACATCCTGAGCTTCCCATGTCTCTCACTGGTATTGCCAGTGGTTTGGACAGGGTTTATTTTGTTCCAGTGAGTTGCAGTGGAATGCAATTCTTCCACTGTGCTGGCCCAGCTTTCCTCAGTGTTTTTGCTGTAAGAGTCACCACATTCCCTGTGTGCCTACAAAACAACAATTTCCAGTGTGACAGTGAGAATGTTCAAGTGTCAGCTCTACGTCTTCTGATACCAAATTAATTTGATAAAGAAACAAAAAGCATCCATGAACATGCAGGTTAAATGCATTTGTTGCCATTAAGTATATAAAAAAACATCCTAAACATGCAATTATTACCTATAATACCCTATATGCCCATGTTATTTTGTGAAACCATCCACATTCACTTGAGTGGTTTTAGCTCTTAAAATCTATTTTTTAATAATATCAGTTTAGAAAGCAGCATTACCAGCAGATATTAGCATATTCAAGCCCTGTTGAATTCACAAGGCTTTTATTATCTTCTTGTTGTTTACAAATTTTACTGTCATTCATCACTGCAAATCATCAGCTGTACTTGTGGCTGAAGAAAACACTAACTCAGAAGGCAGAGATGAGTGCAAATGCATTAATCAGAGATCATGATTTTTCTACCTGGAATGTTATGCTCTCAGACACCTATAATTAGACATACCAGGTACCTATAATCTTCTCAGTTATTCAAAATATTATGGGGACTGCTCAGTGTGGGTAGGAATGGAGTGAATAACCAACATAAAGCAAAAATACAGGTAAAGCAAAGTATTTTTAGAATTAGGCTGTAAAAATACATTTCTGTTCCAGAATTTCTAAAAAACACACAAAAGGAATATTTCTGCAGAGCACACTGGCAGCTTAAATAGGAAGAGCTGGTGTGTGAGCAGTGTGAAATCCTTGGGCCTTCCCCAGGTTGTGCAGATGGAGGAAAACAGGATAGGTCAGATTCCATTTTTTTTTTTTTTAAAACCCAGTAACTACTACTTTTTAGTAAAAAGGAAATAAAATGATCAGTCTGAGATTTCCAAGGCTATGCAGTGCTTTTAGCCATGCTGTGCACAAAAAGGAACAGCAAGTGAGACTACCCACCTCTGATTGCTTTGTGAATCTAAAGTATAAGCTACAACCACACATTTAATAATCTACATAGGGTTTATTTTCTGTATCAATTGTGTACTTTTAATTTGGTCGAGTTAAGTAGCCAAGTTCCAACTGGGTTTCAGAGCATCCTTAAGGATCAAATCCTGACATCATTTTTCAATATCAAACCAACAACCACTACCACAAATGAACCAATATTTGCAGGATTATCAGAATTTAAAGGAGTATATCTGCAGTTAAATTTCTTTAAAGTAACTTCTAATATTCTGAAGGACATATGTTCTAGAAGTTTAAACAAGAACACTGGCAACACTTGCTGGATGTTGGCTAATTTACAGAGACAAGCCTCTGACTGGAGACAGCCAGCAAGATGCTGCTTTAGGTAGTGTGTAAAAATGAAGTTAATGCCACCCTCTGTCTGGAGCTTAAAACACTGAATCTAAAACTTTAAGCTCAGAATGCAACACACACGGTCAGAGCAGAAAATTAAGTAGCAGGTGGACAGACTCTTTTCTGCCTGTCCTGAACAATAACCATCCCTTGGGCAGCTCCATGAGAAAGCACATGGCAAGTGCAGGCTCACAGGGACTGGTGGTGCAGGTAACGCTCTGCTTCCACAGGGAAAATTGCTCTCTGCATGGAATAATACAGAAACCTCAGCCTCAGATCTCCCTGTGTGAGCCAACAGCACTGAGGAAAAGCAAACAAATGGCAGAACACTGCAAGCTCACCTCGAGCATCTGCAACACAGTTCTTGTCCCTGTGGTTTATGATTCCAGCTTGACTCACAAGCAACTTGAGACGGTCCAAACCCACAAAGTTAGTGGGTGTTGCAGGACTGAGGAGACCAGGATAAAAGCCACACAAACAGTAAACTACCACAGACAATCCTGGCTAATCCCCTTACACCTTCCTAAAAACCAAACACAGACACAAAGTAAAATATAAAATAATTGATCAACTACCTCCAAAGCCATCCCTATTTATATAAGTTGTATCACAAAAGCTTTACTTTTTATACCATTCTTATTTTCAACTTCTGAGATTTTTACCCACCTATCAACTGCCAGCATTTATCATTCCTGCTTTTTACCCATCTTTCACCGTCAAGCCCTCACTATGATTCCTCTCCTTCCATTTTCAAGACTTGTTACCTATCCCTGAGTATTCTCCTTAAACTACATCCTCCTTATCTCATGTTTTCCTTTTCATTCACGAGCCTACTACTGTCTCTATTTTCACTTCTCTCATTAAGAACTTTAAAGATCAGTTTCAAAAGCCGGTTCCCAAGTCACAACCTACACATCAAAACAGTCCTCCTTTATTTACAAATATTCTGTACCACCATCAAACGTCGTGTCAGATTCCTGTGATTATTCACAGGAAGGCATGGAAGATTTTTTCAAACACATACGTAAACAGAGTTAATAACTCTTTTCCCTAGAAACAAGGCTTTACGACTTCCTTGGAAGAAAAGTTGAACCAGGAAAGTCAGGCATACCCGTGCAAGCTGCCCCAGAGAGCAGAGGTGAGGTTTTGTTTGATTTGTGTAGAGGATCTCGCCAAGCTCCTGATAAGGCTTCCTGAGGGGGGTGAAGTGTCCAAGAGTGAGTGGTTTTTCCTGCTACGGTTGTTTTCCCAGAACACTTGTTCCCTTGGAGGCTCGCTGCTTCAAGCCAAGGCCTTTCCTTCCTCCTGAGCAGAGCCAGGCAAAACCTAAACGTGCATAAAACCTCAAGGATTCAGTACTTTAGTGGCTGCCAGCACCTTTATTGTGCTGTTCTGGGGTGGCTCTGGGACCACAGGTGCCTCAGATTTGCTGTTCCCAGTTTCCTACCACAGGTGCCTTGAGTCTGCATTTTTAAAATGCATCTGGTACTGGCACTGTTCCAGTACAGGAAACTTGCTGTTTTTAATTCCCTAAATTATTAAAACCTCTTACTTGCCAGCCATGAAAACACACACACAGCTGCCCAAACTCTGAAACAAGTGTTTTTAATTTTCTAAAGGGCAGCCCAGCGGAAGGATCTGCAGTTAATTAACACTACACGAGGTCTTCTTATTCCCCTGGGCAGCCGCTCCAAAAAAAAAAAAAACCCAGAAACAAATCCTGAGGGGCCGGGACACTTTTAAACCTTACCAGCCTCCTGGGGACCAGCCGGAGCACCTCCCTCTGACGGTGTTTCATGTCAAATAAAACGTATTTATCGCTATTTATGACAGCAGCGCCGCCTCCCCTGCTCGCAGCCCTCACGCCAAGGCTGAGGGGGTGCCGGGTTCCCTCACGACCCTCTCTCCGTGCCGGGGCCGCCTCTGAGGGCAGGGGGGTCCTGCAGAGAGTCCCGGACAAACCGGAGGGTTGGGCAATCACCGACCGTAGGAGGTTTGACAAGGGGCAAGCGCCGGGTTCTGCTCCTGGGCTGGGGCAGCCCTGGCTGTGTGTGTAGATGGGGGAACGAGGGGCTGGAGAGCAGCGCCCTGGAAAGGGACCTGGTGGTCCTGGCAAGTTGGCCATGACTCTGCAGTGCCCTGGTAGCCCAAAGGGCCACCGTGTCCTGGGGGGCATCAGCCCGGGAGAGGGAGGGGATTGTCCCACTCCGCTCTCACCTGGGGCGGCCTCGCCTGGAGTTCTGGGGGCAGTTTGGGGTTCCTTCTGTGAAACCCTCACTGGGGGACACCAGGAGACAGCAACTGGTTTCCCCGAGCATGGAGGTTGCCTCTGGAGATTGATTTTTTTCACCTTTCTTTCAGGTGAGGGACAAGCTGAGGTGTTGCCCCCCAAGCTGAGGGACACCAGCGCTGTGGCCAAGGGACAGGGCCATAAACAGTGTGTTTTGCCTTTAAATAAACAGAATGTGATAGCGACATAGCTAAAACACTGGGGAGATCGGAATGTCATTATAACAATAAGGGTGATATTCCTCAGTATTTCAATTAATTAAATATAGTCCTTGGCTCCTCTCCTATGTGACAGCTTGGGGTACCTGGCAGAGCAGCCCTGGCCCCCCCAGCACCTGCTGAGGTGGCTGCTCAGCCCTTGAGAAAACCCATCAAACCTCACTCCTCCCACGACCGTTTTCAGTAAAAGCCTTTCAAACTTCATTCAAACCTTGTCAAACAAGCTGTAACTGGTGCAAATGAAAACTTAAGATGAATTTAATACTGTACCTATTCAGCCCTAAAATACAGGGCCGATCAGCAGCAATAACACATTATTTGAGGTATATGATTTCCAGCAGATTGGGTTTTTAGCCTGTCAAGATCACTCCAACCATCTGAACCCTGTGAGTTCTCTAAAAGGGACAAGGTATCTAGAAACATCTCGTCCCTCCCTCCTTGCTGTCTTTCCTCTCAACCCTGAAAAAAACACCCTTGATATCATTTCCCTGCATTTTAATCTGTCCAACACTTCTTTGCTCTTATAACTTTTGATTTAGGATGAGGTGACGAGACAGGAGAGGGCAGAAGTGGTGAGACACAGTGGGGTTGTGGGGCTCCAGGGCCCTGAAGCTGCAGGAGGACACAGGGGGTGTTTGCAGCTGGGCAGGTTCCCCCCACCTCATTTTCCTCCTCAGCTTCATATTTTCTACAGGCTGATTTTCCCCCCAGAACCTTGTGCATTGCTTTGTGCTTTTTTTTCAGGAAAATCTTCCTAGACACACAGTGGTTGGAGCCAGAGGTGCTCACCCACTGATCTGCTAAATTGGGGAGCTGGAAACTCAATTTCTGCCACTTTTCTCATTGGATGCAGCTTAATCATAGATGTTTCCAGCTGAAAAGAAATATTCCGACACCCAGTGTTTGAGACAGCCACAAAAAATATCACAATTTGGTAGTGATGACCCCCTGAACACCTGCTTTTGTTGGACCTGGCTGTACAAGAGTGAATTCAACTGAAGTATTTGAGAAAGAAGTAGTTTCAATTACTTCCCTAATACAAATGGCGATGTCTCACCTGACACTGGGATTTCAGCTCCAGGGCTTCAGTCAACCTTCGTCTGCAGCAGGTTGTGACTCCTGGAGCAAGGGGACCTGGCTTAGACACATCACCCCAGCACCCTCTAGACCTGGGAGTCAATCCAGATGCTGCAGGTGCTGCAGAGGAGCTGGGTGGGCACACAAGAGCCATCCCACACCTCCACCCTGCAGACATCAGTGCTGTCACCCTTTGGAGCCGTGCCCAAAACACACTCTGCTTCCCTGGCAGATCCATTCTTTAATGGCTTTAAAACAACTAAAGGGCCATTTGGCTTCATCAGGGTGCTCAGGGCCCCTGTGCTGGGAAAGGCACAGAGAGGATGTGCACAGGGTGATGTCCTGCTGGGGCTGGACACGCCCTGTCTCTCCTGGTCTCCCCTCCCACCAGCACAGAGGCACCTGCACCCCACAGGCAGTGTGCAAGCCTTGGGGCAAGGCTCTTGCACAGACCATCACACCTCTCTCCAGGCTGTTTGCATCTTGTTTCCCCTAAAGTTTGCCCCTGGAGAGCCCACCCTGCAAACTCCTTCCTGGCAAGGAGTTCCCTCTGGAGCGCCGAGCTCAGAGAGGACCGTGCTGCCTGTGCCTGGCTCCTCAGTGACCATGTCCATAGAAACGAGCTCCCTCCAAGACAGAGGAAGAGGTATTATTCAGAAACAAGCAAAAAAGTCAGATCTATGGGTTTATGTTTTTGGAGACACCCCTCCCCCCCCTTTTTTTCTTCCCACATCCTTTGGAGGCTCACAGAGCTGAGCCGTGTGGGATCTCCCAGCTCTTCCTTTCCTCAGCTCCATTTCTCCTCCACCCTGTTCATCTCTAGTCCCATTTTCAAGCAATACTCCAGGAACAACGAGTATACATTTGTTTCTTTTTTTTTTTTTCCTCTTGTGTCATTTCTCCATCCAGCTTACAATTTTGGCGGCAATTTAACAGCTTGTACAAATTACATTCCTATCTTTTTCTCCGTTATTGTTAGAGGAGAAAGTCCCATTTTTCACTGTGATCCTTCAGGTTTCTGCTGTCACTGTATTTAAGACTTTTTCTTTTTTTGTCCTTAGCTTTTATTTTCTTATCCCTCAAGGGCAGCCTTGGAAATTCAAAGCTGTTCCCTGCCTATCAGTGGATCTCGTATTCTCTTTTGGCAAGTCCACAGCAACTGTCTCTCTTCCGTCCTTCCACCTAAATGACACCTTTTCTCAATAAATTACCCTTTGTCTCTCAAAGCAACAGTTCCATTTGTGACAGTTTGGATGTATAATAGTTGCATCCCAGCGGATACCTTCAGGAGCGTCAACTAACAGGCCAATACAAACTCACTGGTGCAGAAAATAAAGAGATTTATGTATTTTGGGCCTTATTTCCCCCCCAGTAGTTGAGCTGTGCTCTGAATTTTCAAAGTTTGCATTTTAAGATAGGGTTGCTCATCACCAAAAAAAACCTCTCCTGGAATGGAGGGATGGCTGAACACATGGCAGAATTCCATTTTTTCCAACATAACATCCCCTTTGGGTCCCTGGAAAATATCTCCGAGCAGCCAAACCCATGCAACCATGCCCATCCCAGTGTAGGGCTTCATGGATTGTTTATGCTACAGAGGAAGCATTGATTTTGCAAACATTTCCTGGCAGTAATGACGTTGATCGATTAGTGCTGCTGTTGCTAATGGAGGTTAAATGTGTGGAGCAGCAGCTTTGGGGTGTCCCCAGGCTCCCTGCAGGCAGGGGGGTCCCCAGGAGCCCCCTCTGCCCCTGGGGACACGCTCACACCCAGCACTGCTGCAGGGGGGCTGCGGCAGATCAAGCTTGAGAAGGCTGGATGCTCCCACCCCGCTCCCTCCAGATGACAACAGAGATACCCAAGCCCAGGGCTGGCAACAAACCCACCCTCCCTGGCTCCTGCAAAGTGCCTGAAAGCAACAGATTGAACATTTTTACAGAAGTCGTCAAGATCCAGGCCTTGGCTTTAGCAACCTGTGACTTTCTTCTCGCAGCCCTGCACCTTCTGTCTCCTTTCCAAACACCAGACAAGCCAAACATTATTTTCCAGTCCCAGCATCTGGCACGCAGCTCTGGGCAAGCCTCTCAGCCTGTCGCTGCTGAGATAAATGAGCCCGTTTCAGCGGCCGACTTCATAAAAGTATATGAAAAGTAGTTAACAAAAGGGTATTTCACAAAGCCAGGAATGCAAATGCAACCTCTGAGATAACTAATTAACTGAAGGAGCCAGACAAAGGGGAAGCAGCTTCCCATCTGTGGAAATAGATGTCATTTTGTAGAGGCTCTAATTAGTTCTGCTCTGTCCCGCAGCCGTTTTGTCGTTGGCGTGCACAGGCTGCTCCTGCTCCACAGCTCCCGGGGCTCTCAAGGTGAAGAGGGGGAGAGCAAAAATGGGGGAAGAGCTGCTTCACCTTGCAAAAGTCCCCTACGAGGGATCCAAGCAGCAAACAAAGCCAGGGCTGTTTTTCAGAGGTGGCCAGTGCAGCTGTGCAGCCATCCAGCACAGGGCACTGGCAGCGCTTGGCCCTGACTGAGTCCTAGGAAGATCATGGAATCACAGAATCATTCAGGTGGGAAAAGTCCTCCAAGATCATTGAGTCCAACCATTAACCCAGCACTGCCAAGTCCACCACTAAACCATGTCCCATCCCAGCACTTCCATGGAGAAGTTTTTTCAGGTTACCTGTGGATGCCCCGTCTCTGGAAGTGTTGTCCCAGGGGTCAGGTCGGATGGGGCTTGGAACAACCTGGTCTTGTGGAAGGTGTCCCTGCCCATGGCAGGGGGGGGTTAACAAGATGATCTTTACCATCTTTCCAACCCAAACCTTTCTATGATTTTTCCCTCTCCTCAAACCTTTCCAACCAATTTTGGACACAGACATTAGGTATTGCTACACCCCATGCTTTGGGCTGTCCCCCACGTTGGATCAGGACACAGCTCCCACCAGTGTGCTCTCCAGGGAAAGAGGCACCTGGGGGGAGCACACTGGGGTCTGTTCCCACTGTGTCACCACCTGTGCCTGCCCTTTTCCAGCTGTTCTCCTGTAATGTTCAGCTTTTCCTTTGCTCCCCTGCGTGTGAGGATCCCTGCAAACACCCAGCCTGCAGCGAGCTCAGCAGGGTTAACGCTGGAAAGGGGCGTACCATGGGAATTAGTCACCACCGGGACCTCAGTCAAGTGCTTTATTTAATGCCCTTTTCCAAAGACGTTTTT